ATTATCTTTCAACAGCTGCTTGAAATACTGCTTAGAGTTAGTTTGATTCCATAGCAGCTGGGAAACACCAAATTTCAGAGAAAAAGTTTTGCATCAAACCAACCTGAAAACTGTGGAAAAAAGAAAACCCATAAAAAAGGTATTAATTTAAGTAGCTGAAGTAAGTGTGGCTTGCTATTTGTTTTACCCCTCACTTCTAAAATTAATTTTAAATGGGTTTTCATGGTTTACTAAATTTTTCATTCTGAAGTAATAAACAAAATATGAAACCCTACTATGAAACACAACAAAAAACACAGTCCACATTATTATTTTATTGGTTATATAGCAGCAAGAGATCTAGAGACTTCACAAATAGGAAACACAGCAAGTCCTAAAAAAACCCTTACCAGTCTAAATAAAAAAATACATGCATCTAAAGTGCATTTGTAAAAGCAGAAAAAAGAAAGGTGAAGAGATTACATAAGTAGGATTATAGCTTGAATGCGATATGAGAAGCCCTAGGAGGCAAACCCGTGAACACTTGGTGGGCTTTGCCAAACCTCCTGCCACTGTGTGGGAGAAATGGAGGGAAAAGGGATCAGTGCTGAGAATTCAAGTGCACAGGGTATGCCACAGCCTGCTTAAGAGAGTCAGCAATCCTTTAGCTTATTTGCAATCTCTTTTCAAATACACTACATGCTAAATATGAAGTACACATTTTGAGATTCCCTAGAGCAGCAGGATAGCATCCAATCTAATTTTCAAGAGAATGCTACATGTGGGTGAAAGACTTCAAGTTCTGCCCTCTGCCAGGACACACTAGTCTAAGACCAGTAGGCGAACTGCATAAAATTAACATTTTGAAGACACATTGTTTGAGAGAGAGATTGCAGGGAGGGAAGAGGTCGGGCACTTTCATGGCAAAAGGATTAACTGTGCTCAGAATTGAGACCTCAGTCCTTTCTAGACCCCTCTGAACCATGCCAGCCTCTTTCCATTACAATGGTCTCTCTGAAAAGAGCATCAACTGACCTTTGATTGACAGATTTTCGAAATTATCACACTGAGGCTGTCCATCTTGAACTTCATGTGCTCACACAAAACCCTGTCTCTAATTAGACATTCATCCAGTTAGCTAGCAGGGCACCCATGCAACTCATGAAGCATCATGTAGGTGGACAGCTTGGAAAAGTTGCTCTACAAGAATGCACTTTAACAACCTTGTATCATACATGAGTAACTATTCTACATCAAGAATTCAATAGCTTGTAGATCTCAAAATATGTTATTGGAAAACCTCTGCCTAAAACACTTCACATGATGCTATAGCACTTGCAATAGAGCAGAAAGAAACAAAAAGCTTAAGACCCTGGAAAAGTTAAGACTCTGGAAGAGTTGTTTCTGTTCTAAAATAAGTATTTAGTGCTCTGTGCTTAAGGAATTTGCGTAGGTTCTTAAGTTTTGCAGAAGAAAAAAGTTATTTTGGTAAATATCATTATTAAATTTTACAGATTTATCTTTTGAGCTGCCTACAATATTCTCTAAGCAGGGGATAGATAACATTATTTCTGCACACTCTTCTGAAGATAATGTGGATGAAATAGTAGTATAATTTCCTGTTGGCTATTTTCCTACTTTCACGCTTAAAACTGGGGAAAAGAAATTCAGTCATGTATAAAATACCAGAAGACTTAAAGCGCTTGGAGGTATTGCCAAACAGCTATCATCACCGAAGGAAATATAACACTACACAGAGCCAAAGAGAGGCAGAATAACTGCATGAAAATTTAAAAGAAAAATCAGGCTTATCTGTGCATACCCAACATGAATCCCATAGACTAAATTTCCAATGCATACTTCTAATTGGTAGCTATACTTTCCCTAAAAAACATATTGTAATTGTTTCTTTCCTAAACAGTTCACTCCAGCTAAAACTTCTCCTGCATTCAGAGTCTGTGGATGCCATTTGCTTTATTTTCATGCTGAGGGAGATTTTTTTTTTTTTAGATCCTTAGGGAAAACATAAAAATGAATATATACTCACATACATACAAACACATACTGCAGAACCGGCCACTTCCTTACTCTACCAATGGAAGAGGGTTTAGTCCTTGCAAATTAAAGTAATAACCCTTTATTTCTCCTCGCTAGCATACTTGAAAGAGAACAAATAGTACAAAAGATACTTGGAAAGAAAAACATATTAGGACACGTATCCAAAAAGGGACTCAGTCATTGACTACTGTTTTTCACCTGACACCGTATTTCAGAACTCAAGGAGTGACGTTTAGAATACACAAGAACTCTTCCTGGAGGTATGACAGAAGTATTAAGATAACAACTGATTTTGTCAAACAGCTAAGTGAAACTACTTGAAACAAGACAGAAACATTTGATACATAGAAATGCACCTTTCCTACCCACTAAAATTTTGCTCCTGCAAAAATTTCAAAAAAAAAATCATACAAATATCAATTATTAGCCTTTGTGGGGGAAGGGAGGAAGGAGGGAATCTAGACCTAGTTTTCTTTTTTTCCTGGAAGGTGATTAGTGATTTTATGAAAGGACAAAATATAATCACAAAAATATATAGAGATCACAAGGAAGATAACCACTTATATGTCTGCAAAGCTTCTATTGTTTCTTTGATTTTTATCATTATTGATAATGTTGAAACACAGCACATGATAGACAGCTGTTTGTTTGCACAGGATAGCTGCTTAAAACACTATATGAAATATAAACTCCACAACACCTAAAACATTCTTTAGAACTATACTTATGCCCTTCACTCTTTTAGAACTTCACCTGTTGCTCACCCATCCAAAAAAGGAATATGAAACATGACATTGCCATCTTTGGAACACAGCTCAAGTTTACAATTAAATTTAAAGATCACTTTACAGCCACTCCATACATAAAAAAACCTACATCCTGTAACCTCCGATTGCTTTCCTCTGCTTAGTCAGACCCTGCTCATTAAACCATCTGTCTTTATTTTCATAAATGAGACTCATAAAAAGCCACTGCATAGAAATGTAATCTGTGAACCTTTTGATTTATGAGGGGCTGTTACTTCAATATATTCCATTTAACATCATGAATACCATCTACACCTCATGAGTTGATAGTCTGGCCGCAATCACCAAGCTTATGAACTCCTATTTTCTGGAAAAAAGTTAGAAAATTCAGATTCCCCCATACAACAGTAGCTTTGGCATTGAACATTGTGCCATATGTAAGCGGAGGCTAGCACTTTATTATACCCTAATGGTCCTGCCTAAAATAAATACGAATGGAATTAAATTGTGATTTCCATCCTCCATAACAAAGTCTAGTGGGTTTCACACACTGTATTTCAGTACTAAATTTAGCCTAAAGTGGATATACTCACCTACTTTTTTAGCACTGTTTTGAGACGTTTCACTCTTTTACAGGTCCTAGAAGGTTTGGGTTACAGTCATTCCATATTTACATATGTATCTAAAAAAACACTAGATTTCTTTCCAATTTCTGATAAGACAAAACCAACAAAGGCTAGTTCATTTTTGTTTACTTATATGCACCAGTTCTGATACTAATGGCAAAAGAATCAAAGTGCCAAACACAACTGGGAGATGAACCTTCATTCACTAAAAATGAAACACAGTTAATGCTTTCTGGTTTGTGTATACACATCACACATACACATAATCACATAAGGACAAATAGGTAAGTCAGTTTAGGAAGTAGAATACTAAGAAGAAAAATCTGTATGCAAATGCAGCATTTTAAAAGATCTTTTACAACAGAATTACATTAATATTCCTAAACTGCTTAAAAAAAGAGACTGAGATTATCAAGATACAAACTTACCTCAAGATTAACAGGAATGATCTCTGCCTATCACTTTTTGCACTACAAACACCAATGGCATTTGAAGAGATTAAAAAAGTGATCACACTACCATACCAGACTTTAAAAGAAAAATTAAGTGGACTCATCAGCAACTCAGTCAAAACTGGATAACAAAACAGAAGCAAGCTCCTACTACTGTGGTAGATGCATATTCCACAAGTTTTGTCATACTCAATGAAGCAGCAGGAA